GGGGGGTGCAATAGACAACGCTTTTCCTTAGTTTCCACATAGCACAGAAGAAATATGATACCGGGGGGAGTCAGATTCAGATGAGCCACAATTGTGGATTTTTTTTCAGGCAGACTTTTTTTTTTTCTTGTCAGCTTTGAGTCCTGCTGGTACTTTCAAGATCAAAAATGGCCAGATTAGTGGGCATTTCACTGGTCCGTGCTTACGAGTTTCTCCAAGGTCGTCTCCAACATGCTGGCGAGCCTTAGAAGCCGCAGGTGGCCTGCAATTCTCACAAATTGCTTCCATCTTATGGCTTATCTCATAAATCAGCTGATTTTGAGTACTCGAAGCACGAACCAAACCTTCACACAGACTTGGCAGTTTTGCCATTGACGAAACTGCTGCTGCCGTCTTCCTCAATAGCCAAATCCACCGATGCCAGAGAGCGGTAACACTGCTATCATAAATCCAATTATATAGACTTCTTCGGCGTCCTCCTGAGACAGAACGGAAAGACACATCAGCTCCCAAACTCCCCACGGGTCCATGACATATCCTGCTGCGTGAGTCTCAGTGGGGCATGAGGGCTCTCCAGGACACTGTCGTTTTGTTGAAAAGATTTTGTTGATTGCGTTGAAAGTCCAGCTCACCAAATCCATGACGGTAGTTTTAGTTTCAGAAGATGTGTATGGGGAGCTCCGATACAGACAGAGAGCAACAAAAACAAGCAGGAGGAGAAGAGGAGAGGGAGAGGAGGCGCCAGCCTTGCACTAGAGCGAATGCAGAAAGAAAATGTATTGATCTTTTTCTGGTATTTCGTCCACAGGAGTCCTTTTCTGAGCACCTTGGTCATTCTGGTGGAATTGTGACGGGGTGTGTACGACTTAAAATAGCATTTCTTAAATTTAAATTTTGTAGTAGTCTTCCTGACATTCTCCCTTTTCTCCCCTCAGTGCCGACCTGTTTCGCGCGTCAGGAAAATTTGAGCTGCTGGATCGAATCCTGCCCAAGCTGAGAGCCACCAAACACAAAGTGCTGCTTTTCTGTCAGATGACCACCCTCATGACCATCATGGAGGACTACTTTGCGTACCGCAATTTCAAATACCTACGTCTGGACGGTGAGACACTTTTCAAAGGCCCAAGACATGTTTGGTCTTTTATAGAAGCTTTACAATCTTTGTAAAAAAATGTTATCCTCCTCCAATAGGAACCACCAAAGCGGAGGACCGAGGCATGCTGCTGAAGACGTTCAACGAGCCGGCTTCTGAGTACTTTGTGTTCCTGCTCAGCACCCGAGCAGGAGGTCTGGGCCTGAACCTGCAGTCTGCTGATACGGTCATCATCTTCGACAGCGACTGGAACCCTCACCAGGTGCTGTAGTAGTTCAGGGAGGTTGTTTGATGGTTGAGCACACGCATGAACCGCTAAGCTACTGAGCTCATTACCAATCACCTTCGCTCATTCCTACAGGACCTGCAGGCTCAGGACAGAGCCCACCGGATTGGTCAACAGAACGAGGTGCGAGTGCTCCGCCTCTGCACCGTCAACAGCGTGGAGGAGAAGATCCTGGCAGCAGCCAAATACAAACTGAACGTGGACCAGAAGGTCATCCAGGCGGGCATGTTCGACCAGAAGTCATCGGGCTTCGAGCGCCGGGCCTTCTTACAGGCCATTCTGGAGCACGAGGAGCAGGACGAGGTGGGTACATTCCTCCATGCCAGTTATTCAATCAGGATAACTTTATTGTCCAGAACATTCCATGAAGTGGAGACTTCTCTTTAACATCTGGCTCCAACATACAAAACAACAAGTTAAAAATGCCTTCAAACTTTTAAAAAGCTTTGCTAACGCTATAAAAACATTCTGAAATACACGATGCATTAAAAACGTCTCCGCAGACAACGGGTTGTCATGTGAGGCTGTGTTTAGATTAACAATAAACATTAAATTATGTTAATAAACATTTTGTTGGCAGGAGGAAGATGAGGTGCCTGACGACGAGACCGTTAATCAGATGATTGCAAGAAGCGAAGAAGAGTTTGAACTGTTCATGGTTGGTCCCATTTTAATATGAGTGATAACTACTAACTTTACAAATTAACTTTAACTGTGTTTGTTTGTTTGTTTTTGTTTGTTTGTTGCCAGCGTATGGACCTGGACAGGCGCCGTGAGGAAGCCCGCAACCCAAAGAGGAAACCTCGCCTGATGGAGGAAGACGATATGCCTGGCTGGATTTTGAAAGATGACGCTGAGGTCGAGAGACTAACCTGCGAGGAGGAGGAGGAGAAGATGTTCGGCCGGGGGTCCCGTCAGAGGAAGGAGGTGGACTACAGCGACTCGCTGACTGAAAAGCAGTGGCTCAAGGTGGCACTAGGACCGAAACATCATCAGAGTACGACTTTAACTCTGTCTGAGATGACTGACTGTTCTCCTCACCACAGGCCATAGAGGAAGGTAATCTGGAGGACATAGAGGAGGAGGTCCGTCACAAAAAGACAACGCGAAAACGGAAGCGAGACCGTGACCATGACAGCCCCATCACGCCCGGCTCCAGCAGCGGCCGTGGACGAGACAAGGACGAGGATGGGAAGAAGGCAAAGAAACGTGGCCGTCCACCTGCTGAGAAGCTCTCTCCCAACCCCCCATCCCTCACGAAGAAGATGAAGAAGACTGTAGATGCTGTCGTCAAATATAAGGATGGGTAAGATTACAAAAGAAACATCTGAGCTGCGCACTGTTTGTACCGACAGTTTTCGAGCGGCCTTTAGCTTTATAGCTAGCGTGCTTGTATTGTATTGTACGCTGCTAGCTTAGCGTTATGCCAGTGCCAACGGGTGGTGGAGGTGGGGGGGGGGGGGGGGGGGGGTTTAGGTTGGGTGGGGGGGGGGCAGGTTTTTTTTATTGGGGGGGGGGTCCCCCTTGTATAATGGTAGGGGAAACACTGCAATGTGCACTTGTGTTAAGTTTTTAAAAAATCATGTTCAGTGTTAATGTAGCACTGATGCTAGTTGTTGTTCAGCAGCCTGTTTTTTCATATCCTATTTTGCATTCTTTAATAGTAAAAATAAACAGATCAGTGCTTATTTATGTAAAATAGAACAGTCAAGTTTCAAGATAACTGAAATGCATCAGTAATCTTTTTATAATCTCATCCAGCTCTGAATCATAACCAAAGGGCTAAAGAGTCCCACCCATACAACTTATAGGAACCCTGAATGAGTTAACTTTGTCAGCAGCAGCGTTTATGGATCTGTCAAAGTGACGGAATGATCCAAAGACTTCCAGCAGAATGCCGTTTTCATCCTGGTGCCATGTTCCTGTTACGATGTAAACTGATTCAGTTCTGCTCACACGACGAACACCGCGAGCACGACTCACCCTGATAGACCTGAGGATGCACATCTTTGTGCAAAATCAACTACGTTCAGAGAGATTTCTGTCACAAGCTGGTTTTACTGTTTTAGCAACTTGAGCAACAATAAATCTGTTTAATCAACAAGTGTGGACCAGTCTTTAGGTATATGTGGTAAACCCTTAACTTGTTGCTGAATCCTTTCCTTAAACTACAGTTTGTGAGTCCTGACCAGGAAGATCCCATAAATGCTGGATATGTTAGAACTCATCTGTTTAGCTTTTGTCAAAGTCCCTTAAATTCTTCAACTTGCCTACTTTCTTCCTTCTGACACTAACTTCTAGGACTAAATAGTCACTTCCTGTCTGATTGTATCCTTCTTGTTGTATCCAACTCATGTTTTAACTGCTCTTGCGAAGTAGCGAGGGACTACTGTATTGTAGTTTATCTAGTGGGAAATAGCCTCTTTATTGATTTGATTCTAAAACTACACCTGTTTTGTTTGTGCAGTAACGGTCGACAGCTGAGCGAGGTCTTCATCCAGCTGCCGTCCCGTAAGGAGCTGCCGGAGTACTATGAGCTTATCCGCAAGCCAGTGGACTTCAGGAAGATCAAAGTAAAGAGGAAATGTCTTCTCCTTTTTTAATATATTTTTATTTTAGTTCTGCTCGTCTTAACTACCGACTTCTTTTAGGAGAGGATCCGCAGCCATAAGTACCGCAGCCTGAACGACCTGGAGAAGGATGTGATGTTGCTCTGTCAGAATGCCCAGACCTTTAATCTGGAGGGCTCTCTGGTGAGTTGCATGTGCTGGATCCTTCAGATTAAAGTTTGGAACAACTTCCCCCTTTATAAAATCATGCTTCGTGTAAAAAAATTTCAGATCTATGAAGACTCCATAGTTCTCCAGTCTGTCTTCACCAGCGTGAGGCAGAAGATCGAGAAGGACGACGAAAGTGAAGGAGAGGAGAGCGAGGAAGAGGAAGAGGAGGTCGACGAAGGCTCAGAGTCTGAATGTGAGTACAAGCTCGCTCGTACCAGCAGCAGTTCCAACGTCCTGCCTGTTCATCATTTCTGGCTTCCCCGGCAGCTCGCTCAGTGAAGGTGAAGATCAAACTGAGCCGGAAAGAGAAGGGGGAGCGAGGGGGCAAAGGTCAGAGGCGGCGGGGCCGCGGCTCCCGGGCTAAACCTGTGGTCAGCGACGACGACAGCGAGGATGAACAGGAGGAGGTGAGAGACGGAGCGGACTCCGAAAAGATCCGTTATTTTTAAATTTATGAAGAAAAGTATGGAGCTTGAGTTGAATATAAGAAATAATGGAGTTTCCTTTGTGTTTGATGCAGGAACGTTCAGCCAGTGGCAGCGAGGATGACTGAAGTGAACCGTCTGGAATCGAACCGACGGCTCTCACATCTTGACTACATATACATAGAGACAGTGGGAAGGCCCAGTTTTACCTAGATGAGCTGATTTTTAGCGAGACAGTTGTCATTAAAGTGTACCATTAATTAAAAAACAATGATAGCTATGCTCCATCTTTTTCATATTTAAATCACTTCTCATTATAGTGTGTCTTTTTGTTTTCTCTTCTAAGTGGAACCTTGACAGAGTCTAAACTTTTCTGGACTGATCGTGGACCATCAAAACAGCAATTTTTTTAAGTGTTATTTGTGTTGCCTTCATTCTTTGAGACAAACATTCCTTGAAATCCCTTTTGGATGCGTGTCGTCACGTCTGTGGGAATGCATCTGCTAGTGTCTTCATTATGATCTCTTTAATTTAAAGACTACAAATGGGATCACGGTACGTCCCTCCCCCTCAGGTCATATGTGTAAAAGGGGAGGGAGAGATGGGACCTTTTTCTCTTGTCGGTGTCACTGGAGTCCATACAGTACAATAAAAACATTCATGATTAATTTGTTTAATGTTTTTATTCTACGTTTGAGTTTTTTGAGGGTAATGCTGCCTACTTCAAATCAGTTACATTTTTCTTTCTGTCTGATTTTACCTGGACTACCTGTTGATGAAAGGTTCAGACATCTTAGATTAAAATGTTTTTTTCTAACTTTATGCAAAAAGTTTAAAAAGTTAACTCGTGAACGCATTTGTTTTGGTTTTCATCAGACACCAATATCCCAATCAGGTTAGGTCACTTTTAGATGTAAGAAAATAAAATATCCGGTTCCTAGTTTGCTACAAAATAATTTAAAAAAGTAAGTTCCCTCTTTAATTCTGAAGTTGAAACAAACATTTATTTTTTTATGTAGCAGCTAATGTGTCAAACTTTAAGGTCTGAGGGCCAAATATGGCCCTTGTTAACATCTTTTCTGGCCCTCAATAATTTAAAAGTAGAATATTTATATTGCTTCTCATTTTACTGAAAAACTGAGCATACATTACTTCTCATAACAGTTGGCCAATTTCAAAGCCAAGAAAAATTGTTTGAATGTTTCCATAATCTTTGATTTTAATAGGGAAAAAGCGAGAGAGAACATCAAGTGAGGTCGATGAAACTTGTTAAAGCTGCAACCAAGAAAAGATGTCGTGTGTCTGACTGGAGTTAATGTCTTGACTGAAACTGGACATTGGTTTGAAATAGGTTTTTAATTTTGTCTTCCCATTTTGTAACTGAGATGAATGTTCACTAATAAGTGGGTAAAGAAAAGGGATGTATTTTTGCTTCTCATGAGATTCCAGACAGTTTGTTAAAAACTAACGATTTGGTTTCATTTAAGTTTCAAATGGAGGGATGAGGTTCACTCTCTACCTGTACCTGCAGCAGCAGGACACTAGATGGTGGTTGAGAACATGCAGGCAGAAAGCCTGAAACCTGCAACCACAGGAGCTCAGACATCATCAGTTGGTCTTTCTGCTGCTTGTCATTTCATTTACCTGAGTGGACCAAAATATATATTTTGGCCCCCAAAAAATTGTTTCAGATGTGGTGTCAACAGCTAAATATTTTTCATTCAACCTTTTTTTATACAGGTTAGTCTCATTGAGTCACGAGGACTCATTTATAAGACAGCTGTTTTAAACAAAAAAACAGATGAGGTACACACAACAATACACACCCATAAAATGCAAATGAAATGAAAAGTAAAAGTAGTGATATAAA